CCCCCGTCACGGCCCCGTCGGGTGCCTGTTCTGTCTGTAAGTTCACGCTCGTGTTGCGATTGGCAGCTGTCACGTGAGCTACAACTAGGTTGCTTCCTTTTTATTCAGGAAGAAACGGTGATCGCCAAATTAGTACAGACGTCAACAGCCTTATAATGGGAGACTGTTAAAAACTGAAAAGACCCTCTGTATTTTAAATTTTTAAATTCTAATGCTTATCTAGTTACAAAAAGAAACTAATTTTTTTGTAGAGACTTGGAAACTCAGAGAAGGGTAACGAAGAAAACTAAAATCACTGTCGATCCTCTTATACAGAGATGACAGTATTTTGGTTTATTGCTCACTGTTTTTTCATGTATGTGTATGCAGTGATGTGAGGTACATGTGCTGATTTAAACCTACTTTAACATTAACATAATATATAGTTCTGTAACCTCCATTTTTAAATTTGATATTATGTGTTATAATTGTTTCCACTTGTTTTCAGTTTTATTGAGGAATAATTGACATACATCTTTGTGTAAGTTTAAGGTGTACAGTGTGATGGTTTGATTTACAAATATATGACCACAGTTGGTTAAGCTAACATCTATCTTCTCATATAGATACAATACAAGGAAGAGAAAGGACAGGTTTTCTCCTTGTGATGAGAACTGTTAGGATTTACTCTCAACTTTTCTATGTGTCACACACAGTGTTAACTGTAGTCATTACATTGTGTATTGCATCCCTAGTACTTGTCTTATAACTGGAACTTTGTGCCTCCAATCTCTCCTTGTCCTACTTTTTACCTCTGCTAATCGAAAAAGTCTGATTTCTTTTTCCATGAGTTAGTTTGTGCTTCCACATGAGATCGTACAGTATGTGTCTTTCTCTGCTGACTTATTTCACTTAACATAACGCCTTCAGGGTCCATCATGTTGCCACAAATGATGGGATTTCTTCTTCTTCTTCTTTTTTTAATGACTGAATAACATTACTTGTATGTATATTTCACAACTACTGTATCAGTTCATCCGCCAATGGACACCTAGGTTTTATCTGTGTCATGGCAAGTGCAGATAATACTGCTATGAACATGGGGGTACAGATATCTTTTTGAGTTAGTGTTTTCATTTCCTTTGGATATATTCCCAGAAGTGGAATTACTTGATTGCTTCCACTTTCTTACTTTAAAAATGATCAATGTGATAAACGTGTTTATTAATAAAGCTTCCTAGGATACACAGTTTTAACAGTTTTAAGGCTCTTGATACATATTGCCAAAATGCTTCTTCAAAGTCTGAACCAATTTTTATTATTAATTTATAATAATTATTATTTTACTTTTACTATGCTAAAATTTACTTTATATAAATAAGCAAAATATTTTCCTATTTAATAGGAGAAGTATTAATTTGCCATGAGTGTTTATTTTCTAATGAGGACATTTTTATGAAAGTGTTCTTTAAAAATTTTAGAAATAAACTTTATTAGATTGAAAGAATGAACAATTATTAAATTTGTCTCAATGTAAAAAAATAGCAACTAAAATGATGTGATATCTAGCAACCTTCAATTTTGAGGTGAGTTTTACTCATGTGTAAAGGAGAGAAAGAATTTGATTGAATCTGACTAGCTGATACATGAAATTCAGATTCTAATACATTTTATTTTTGAGAACTGGGGAATCAATGTATCGAAGATTTAAAGATAATTATTTTTAATGCAAGAATTGTGGAAACACTTGAATTTGTTATCCTTTAAGGTGAAATTAAATATTTTGCTTTTAAAAAACCCCTCACCTGTGGAATATAAAAGGATAGAACTTGGTCTAGCAATCCCAAGTAACGTTGACACTAATGCCTAACATTTGCACTGTCTTGTTTCCCTCTTTAGGACATCCAGGCAGAAATTGATGCCCACAATGACATATTTAAAAGTATTGATGGAAACAGGCAGAAGATGGTAAAAGCTCTGGGAAATTCTGAAGAGGCTACTATGCTTCAGCATCGACTCGATGATATGAACCAAAGATGGAACGACTTGAAAGCAAAATCTGCTAGCATCAGGTCAGAATCGTCAATATCAGAATAAAACTAATGGGGGAGGGGGTTTTATGAATCTTGTATGTCAGAGAACAAGAAGCCTTATCACCATGCTACTTCCCCAGAAATTCCCTAAGATTTAAATGCAAAGACTATTTTCCTAAAGTTCTACTTTTAGCTCCATTAATGTCCAGTGCCACCTGCCATCTGTTCTTGACTACAAATTTGCATTTATTCAACCTAATACTACTAATAATGTTACCCACACCTGATGATTTTTGTTTACCTTGACCAAGTACTGTATTAGAATCCTTGCAAACATTACTTTATTTAATATTTAGAACATTCTAGTAAAGTGAGTAGTAAAATTCTTTCTTAACATGAGGAAACAGAGGCTCAATGAATGTGAGAAACTTACCAAGAATTTGAGCTAATAAGTGCTAAGCCAGGGTTCAAGTCTAGATCTTTTGGACTCTTGGCAATGAACAGGTTTTGCCTCATCATGCTATTTGTATATCCAATTTGAAGATATTTTATAGAAATTAAATATTGCTTATGGACACTAAATTGGAAAACTGATGATTCACATCTGCATTTGGAGAGAGTGAAATTAAGTAAGGAGGAGTCTGAGGATCAGAATGCTGACTAGGAAAAGGCCTCGGGAAATTACCTGCTGTGACAATTATTAATATTATTGGGAGCCAAGAATTCTTTAGGATTATATTTAATAGATGGTGAATGTAAGTTTAGAGAAAACTGAGATCATGTTGCTGAGCAAAGATTCAAAAGGAAATCTTGGGGAAAGATCGAGATCTTGCACCTGGGTGAGTTGTTTTTTCTTTAAATTCATAAACTATATGACATATTGAAAAATGTGCAACCTTAAACCAAATGATCCTGAATTTGACTTTTTAACTTTACTCACCGATCTTGAGCAAGTCACTTAGTCTCTCTGAGCCTTAGTTTTTTTAATTTACAGAATAAAAATATTTAATTTATGTGATTGCTGTGAAGATTGAATAGAATAATCTGATAGTTCCTTAATCTACATAAAACCCGTTCAGTGTAGCATGTAGTTGATTTTAAGCTTTTACATAAAGGGTCTCAGTTGATTTGCTTCAGTTGGTTTCTGGATTTCATAGAACTTGTTTATAGAGAGTGGAAATCTTCAGTGATTATTATTGTGAATTAATTTTTGAAAACATTTTTTTCTCAAGAAATGTCCAAAGGTGTTTGTTTTTCTGGGGTTTATAGAGGGAGATTTGCACTTCTTGTTATACTTAAATATAACATGTAGCATGACTATGAAAGCCTCTGTGTAAGGATCTCATTGAAAACCATGTCAGTGTCAGCCAACTATTTTTTAATAAGAGGGAAATTATGGACTATTGTAGAGTGAGAGAATATACTTATGCTTGTTGAAGATGTGAGTTTTCAACTGGCCAGATCCCATTTGGTTGCACTTTTCTGTTCCCCATAAATACAAATTAGTGAAAAGGTTTTCAATGTTAATACAGTGACATTCACTGAGGTTCTAGGGAAACCGACATCTAGTCTAATGAGCTAATAGTCACAGGGGTGGCCCCGGTGACAGTTGTGCACATGGTGGTGGAATTTTGGGAGTCTTGCGGATGAGTTCTTTAGGAAAGAGAACTTAAGGAAGGCTGCATCTGTACATACAGGTCAAATAGAAAGCTACAGACAAAAAAAATCATCTTTGGCCTTCCATGGCTGTTCTTGCCCAAGCCTATCAATTCACATTTTTTTCTACTCCAGAAAGAAATTACATTATAAACTTCATTTGGATTATTATCTCATGCATAACTTAATGTTGTTGGGAGAGTAAGTTTTGTCAGTGGACTTCTGCCTCACAGTAGAGCTCACATTCCAGTAAAATGTGTGATTAATGTGATGATGAATTAAAACAATTTTTACCTTTATTACCCGCCTCTGGAGATTCAGGCATTTATTCAAGCATTTAGTAAGAACTCATTTCTATATTTAAGGCACTTCTAATCTTAAATAAGATATAACCCCTGCCCATAGGGGATTCACAGTTCTGTCCAGATTAAGATGGACCCAAAGGAGGAAGGTTAATGTTTTTTTTCAGACAGTCGTCAAAGGCTTCACAAAAGAGGCAATTTCTTAAGTCGAGCCTTGAAAGATGTGTGTTATTTCTCCTATGGACTGGGAGAGGACTGGAGAAGGGCTTATCAGCAGGAAGCTTGAAGTAGCACTGTGCTTTCATGGAGCAGTTAAAAAGTTCAGCCTGGTTAAGAACAGAATTTGCTGTTGGTGTAGAGAGGAAAGATTGTGGCTAGAGAAAAAGGGAGAGAGAGAGGTGAGACATAAACCCTGGAACACCTGTGTGCACCATGCTCCATTCCATTGCTAATGGAATTTGAACACTTTTAGGAGACATAAGTAGATTTGAGTTTGTCACGACCCCTCCCACACAATTATGAGGATGCATTAGATGAGCACAGTTCTGAAGACGGGGAGACTTGTTACAAGATCCTTTCAGTCTCCAGGAAAGAAAAGAGAGACTGAATAGATACTTAATTCATGTTGTTGAGGCACTGGTGGACCATCTAGAAACAAATAGCCAGCCACCATTGGATGGAGATACCTTCAGAAGAGAGCTGTAGGCCAAACAGATGGTGGGTGGGGAGTATCCAGGTAGAGGAGGCAGGTAGGCGTTGTGAGTAGGCAAGAGAGTGGAAAACAGAAGAGGGCTCAGTACAGAATCCCAGGAAAACCCGATGCCTAAGGAATAGGGGAAGGAAAGGGGAACCAGCGAAGAACCCGAGAAGTGTCCATCCTTGAAGGAAGACAACCTGGAGGGTGTTGTCATGAGCCAAGAGGAGAGAGTTTCAGAAAGGGGGGCTCGGCTGCTTGAAGAAGTCGAGTAAGATCAGGGCTGCAGAGTCCAGCTGTAAGTAGAAGGGCTTTGATGACTCTTTGCCAGGTCATTTTGTGATTGAGGCAAAAATCTGATTGCAGGGGACTAAAGAGTCAGTGGGAAGTGAGGCACTGGAAACAGAACTGAGTGAGCACAGTCTCTTTTTCTCAAGTAACTGCCCTGAAGGGAAGGGGAGAGAGAGAACACATTGCCATAACTGTATTATTACCCATAACACTATCGTAAGTGTGTAACAGCTGGCAGGCTACATCTATATCTCTATTGACCTTTCTCTGCTTTCGTACAGATAAAGTATGTTCAAAGTAATGAGTAATGTAGTCTTCATTTTTATCTTCAAAAAGTGGACAAGATAAATTTTATGAACATATTCATCATTACGTAGACATTTATAAAAGATAAAATGGTTTATTATTCTCAGTAGTGGACCCTCATGTAGGAAGCACACCTCAGAGAGAAGCGGTAGAGGACAGTGTTTCATGTTATACTCCCGAGCTAGACTGCCTGGGTTTAAACCTGGCTTTGCCACCTAGCAGCCGTGGCACTGTGGGGAGGTTGCCTAGCCTATTATTGGTCCCATTGATTACCATTCTGTTTGGCACTGAGCAGTTCAAAGGACATAGAAATTCTCTCTACTCCATCTTTTTCTGTCTTTATTCACTAATACTGGGAAATTCTGAGAAGGTCCCCAAGAAGACTGCATCCTGAACAAATACGAACCAAAAGTATGGCCAAGAGAGAATAACAGTGCCATGTGAGTTACTGAGCTTGGAGGCTAGAGCTTAGAGTAAGAGCTAAATGGGGCTGTTCACTGCACCCCAGAATGAGGCAGAAATCACCAGCAGTCACTGGTCAAGGTGGTCTCCGGAGTGGGGCGCCCTGCATGGAAGAATAGGGAGAACTCAGCATCTGCACACCTGTTATCAGGAGGTAAGGGTGGGCTGAGCTAAGCACATCAGTGATCCCCAGATTACAGATCAGACCCCTCCCTCCACCTCTACAGGGACTGAGAGAGTAAAGGGGCTGGGAAGAGGCCGGGAGGTGCTTAGTGAGAAAACCCCTACCTGTGGCAGGGACTGTTCTCATTGGCAAATACGCAGAGACAGCCAGTCTCCCAGCCACCTGCCCCCTTCAGTCCTTACTGAAAATGATGCCTGTTAAGCACACTGAATTTCTGCGTCTCTGTTTTTCCCTCTCATTCCTTTAAAGTCTACCCTTAACACTGGCTTCTCTTCTGAACAAAGTCCCCTGTGCCTTTAATATTTCCATAAGCTCTAACACCACTTTTCTTTATAATTGAAAGCTGGCTTTCCCCTTAATTGCCCGGTTTTCTTAAATTTAATTAAATTTAAGTTTAACTTGCCCATTTTCCTCACCTGGCAGACTGTGGGAATAATCTGCATATTTAACAACTGGTATGGACACCAAACAATCAGAATGGCAACCATAGACTTCTGCTGTGGCACCCTGGCATGCTGGCTGAACAGGAGCCCTGCCACGCAGCTGGTAAAGCGTTGCTTTGCCATCTGCGCCCAGCTTCTCCTTAGAAGTGGAGCATCCATTAGTCTACGCTCGCACCAGCTAATCCCTGCTTCCTCCTGTCTGCAGGGCCCTCCTCTACTTTCCTCACTGATTCGAGCATCTGACGTCCCCCTCCTTCATCTTTCCTTCAGTTGTCATTCTTGATGTCGATATCCATGTTGATAACTTTTTATATTTTCACTTCCAAGTTTCAGTTTTTACTTTATCTCTAAAAGAGATAAAGTCTTTATCCTGCCTGGCTGGTGTGGTTCAGCGGTTGAGCATCAACCTAGTAGCCAGGAGATCTCGGTTTGATTCCCGGTCAGGGCACATGCCCAGGTTGCGGGCTCGATCCCCAGTCAGGGGCATACAGGACACAGCAGATCAGTGACTCTCTCAGCATTGATGTTTCTCTCTCTCTCCCTCTCCCTTCCTCTCTCTGAAATCAATAAAGATTTATTTTTAAAAAAGAAAAGCCTTTACCCCATTCTGTTTCCACGTCCCAGAGACTTGGCCCTACCTGAGACTCAGCTAATACCCCATGTCATCCTGGCATCCCTGAGATGACTGATCTCCAGGAAAA